GATGCGTGCATCTTGCTAGAGAAGTTGATGGAGAAAAATCTTCTCTACTTTGCTTGCCGTCACCATATGCATGAAGTAATTATTGGGGAAATATACTCAGTTTTGCTTGGACCCAGCAGTGGACCCAACATAGCTCTATTTGAACGATTTCAGAAGTGTTGGCCAAGCATAAATCAAGCCAATTATGCTCCATTAGATGACACCCATCATGCTGAACCACAGCTTCAGCAACTTAGATCAGAGGCTCGCTCCTTTCTGCAGCTTTTCTTATCAGATGACTCTTCGCACTTACCAAGAGAAGACTGCAAAGAGATGATCGAGCTGTGCCTTTTAATTTTAGGTTTTCCGTTATCAGACTATGCCACCAAGAAGTATCGCTTTCGCATGCCAGGAGCTTATCACATGGCTAGATGGATGGCTAAAGTCATCTATTGTATGTAGATATATCTCTTCAGAAATGAATTCAAGCTGACTATAAAAGAACAGAACAACTTGTGCGAACTTTGTATCGTTGCTGCTCATATCTATGTGCCAGGATGGATTGGCTGTCCAATTGCAAGTAATACTCCAGCAAATGACCTGATGCTCTTCACAAGAATTAAACAATATTCTGAGATCAACAAGGTCATTTCAAATGCTGCTATGAAGAAGCTTCAAACTTATACTTGATACCTTGGGTCAGAAATGATTCCACTTTCATTATTTTCTGACAGGGTTTGTGATACAGAAAAAAAGTTGATTGTTGAAGCTATGATTCAAAATGGAGCTGATTGGAGTGTCAGGGGTATAAATTGTCCAGCAGCAGAATTATCAACTGCTGCTTTGCAGTCACTTGGTCTTGATGTAACCATTTTATCTGTAACCGATCCAAAGACCTGGGAGGAAATTGCTGAATTTCTTTATACTAAAGCAATTGTTAAATCTGTGAAAGTTATCAATGACACTGCTAAGCGTTCGGTTGCTCTTATGAGCACATTTAATCAATCCATCACAAAAACTAAATCTGAAATGCAGAAACTAATACAAGTTGTTGAGGACAACAGAAAATGCATTCCAGATTGCCGCAAAAGCATCTTGATGGTATATGCCACTGTTGCTACCGACTAAATTTTTGATCTTGTAAATAGTGCAACATTTGAATGTTATTTGCATTATTTAAGGAATTTTTTGAAAATGATTAGTTGTTTATCATGGCTATAACTTAAGTTTTTTAAATATTGTTGTTGTGGCGCATGCTTTTAACACAGTAAATTTTTATTTTATTTGAGCAACCTCTAAATATTATCCAAAACACCTAAGATTTTGCACAGAAGTTTTTTTTAAAGAAACAATATTTAAAACTGTGCAACATTTAATTCTAAAAAATTTTTTTGGACACCCCTAATATATATATATATATATATATATATATATATATATATATATATATATATATATATATATATATATATATATATATATATATATATATATATATATATATATATATATATATATATATATATATATACATATACATATACACACACACATATACATACTTAATGCTAAATTCATTATAAATTACAGTTATAGTTAAAAACTATACTTCATAAACATATTAATAATAATTTCATTATAATAGTTAGTTATAGTTTATAATTGCTATAAATTCTTTTGTCATGTTTATAATTGTAAATTTAATATATAAATTATAAATTTTTGTAAACAAATTTGTCTTAATAAACATTAAAATTATTAATTTCAATTAAGCTCATTCGAGAATTGCGTGAGGAAGTGGAACGGTTGAAATTACAGCTATTATCTCGGGGTATTCGTAGTGAAAAAGAAGTACTGCAAGAACAGCTTGATGAAAGTAAGAAACTGATGGAGCAGGCATCGCTTACTTGGGAGCAAAAAGAAAAACAAACAGAATATATTCAACAAGTAAGCTGTAAAACAAGAACCAATTAAAAATAAATAGTTTTTATTTTTTAATTTAACTTTATAAAAAAAAAATTAAATTTTTAAACATTTTCCAGGAGCGTCATAAAATCTTGGAAAAAATGGGAATTAGTATACAGGACTCAGGCATAGCTGTAGAGAAGGGTCGATATTATCTTGTAAACTTGAATGCTGATCCATCATTAAATGAAATGCTTGTTTACTATTTGCTGGTAATTTAATTTTGAACTTTAAATATGTTATATGTTGTTTCTTTTTTTCAGAGTTTTAATTTGATTGTTATTTTCATCTAGAGTCACACAAAAATTGGCCGCTCTGATGCTCCAGTAACACAGGTTTTAAATTTTTAGTAATATAATGCATGCGTGTATAAACAGTATATGCATATATAATGCTATATTTTATAATATATAGTATATCTATTTAGTAATATATGATATATAAATTTAGTAATATATAGTATATATATTTAGTAATATATAGCATATATGCATATATAATATAATATTTAGTATAATATAGTTAAAATGAAAAACCCTATTTACAGATTCCATAAATATTATCTTTTCCTATTCTTCAAGAGTTTGAAGATTCAATAATTTCCTGAATCTTGCCAAAATAAAATTATATACATATAACATACATATATAAATATAACCTGTTTATGGCCAATACCACCTGTTTAAACTCATAATGTTTATTTCTAATACCACTTTTATACACCCAATGCAGTGGTGGGCACAGTTAATGTAAAATTTAACTTTGCTAACAGGTCTGCCGCTAATTTTAAAGTTAACTCTGATAAAGTTAAATCATTAAATTAAAGAAATGCTCTTTGCACTAACAGTTTATCATTAAACTAACGATAATTACTATAATGATAATTACTATAAACTATATAACAGTAATAATCACTAAATACTAATGAAATAATAACTTTTGAATCTCGTAATTCACAGAAAACGCACAATCAAGTTTAAAAATATTCTTACTAAAATATTTTCAATCATAATCTTCAAAAAACTAAAATTAAACAAATATATTGTTTGGAAAAACAAAATTTGAATCTTAAAAACAAATTATGCTTGCAAAAGTTGAGGAGATTGAAAATGTGCTTATCCAAATGAAGAAAAGCAAATTAATTTTGCAATACAAATTTTTCTTTCTTTAAACAAAACAGTACAGACTTATTTAATCTTTGCATATGATCTATTAAAAGGGCAAATTTGTTACTCAAACTTTAACAAAAATGGACTTAGTTCATAAAAAACAAAGGAAAAATGCAATTTTGATGCTGTTGTTGTTACGCTTGCATAAAAACAGTGACACATGAAAAATGATTTGTCATATTTTTATTTTTTGAATAATTAGTGTCCACCACTGATCCAATGTTATCTGTTTTTTTCAATACTTCTCTGACTTGTCAAATAAATGGAGGAAGGGGGATTTTTATCAATTTGTTTAGTTTTTTTTTGACCCCCTTCGCTTTTTATCTCTCCTGGAACTTTTTAGTACCTCCCTGTTAATTAGTTTTAAAGAAATGTAAAAAAAGTTTGCAAAATTTTTACTCTAAAAGGTAATTTTTTTCTTATCTCAAAAATGTTAAATAAAGAACTAATTCATTATGTAAAAATGAAAGTCCCTGAATCATAGATTAAAATTTGTGAAACCAACTAGAAAACTTTATTTTTTATTTAAAAAAAAAATGTTTTTGTTTAAAAGAATTTTTTTTTACAAATGGAATTTCTTTTGTGAGTTGACTTTTACTTTTAGTTAATTTTCTTCAAACTAAGATTTAAAAAAAAAAAGAAATGCTCTTTGCACTAACAGTTTATCATTAAACTAACGATAATTACTATAATGATAATTACTATAAACTATATAACAATAAAAAAGTTTGTAAAACAACAATAAAAAAGTAAAAGTAAAAGATTAATATTCTTTAGATATTACCTGTGTGTACACCACATTTCAAATGTTTTCATATTACCTGTGTGTACACCACATTTCAAATGTTTTCATATTACCTGTGTGTACACCACATTTCAAATGTTTTCATATTACCTGTGTGTACACCACATTTCAAATGTTTTCATATTACCTGTGTGTACACCACATTTCAAATGTTTTCATATTACCTGTGTGTACACCACATTTCAAATGTTTTCATATTACCTGTGTGTACACCACATTTCAAATGTTTTCATATTACCTGTGTGTACACCACATTTCAAATGTTTTCATATTACCTGTGTGTACACCACATTTCAAATGTTTTCATATTACCTGTGTGTACACCACATTTCAAATGTTTTCATATTACCTGTGTACACCACATTTCAAATGTTTTCATATTACCTGTGTGTACACCACATTTCAAATGTTTTCATATTACCTGTGTATACACCACATTTCAAATGTTTTCATATTACCTGTGTACACCACATTTCAAATGTTTTCATTTTGTATGAGCCTATTTACTTATTTACATTTAACCTGTTTACATCATTATAACCTTTGGTTTATATCATTAACACCTTTTTCATATAGAATCACTTGTTTTTATTCATAGCCACCTGTTTCCATTCATGACCACTTGTCTCAACTACTATCTCTTAAAATCTCATATAGAAAGAACGATTGTCTTTGTAATCTTTAATTATCATGAACTTTAGGAAATGCTAAAAAATTATCTTAATTATCATGTTAAGGTGAGTTTTCACTCATCCTTTTTTTTACGGGAACGGGAAAGGGACGGTAAAAATAATCACGTGGGCATGCGTAGTATAAGTTTTAATATGTCCGAAGGAAAACTACGCATGCTCACATGATTATTTTTCCCTTATCCCGTTCCCGTGAAAAAACGGATGAGTGGAAAGTCACCTTTACAAAAAATAAAAACATTTTTAAACTATTATGAAAATCCTTTCTCCTTAACAACAGTTAATATATTATTTACATAAAAAGTTAATTAAATTGTAAATAGTATAATATACAATATTTTATATAGGACATTGTTTTGAATGGACTTGGCATTGCTTCTGAGCATTGCATAATTGATATTGAAGATGAAATAACCTACTTGCAGCCTCTTGAAGGAGCTCGGTAAATATTTGATTTAAAAATTAGTTTGTAACACTCCTGTTGAATTTACAGTATACCAATAAAAGACTTTATATAATATATTGTCATTAAGGCCATTAAAAAAGACGTTGCAATTCAACTTATGGCATTGCAATGCAGTTCCTGGAGTTACACCTTAATTTATGGAGTTATATCTCAGGTAGTTCAAATACATAACCCACTCCTTAACTCATAGGCTTAATACTTAAATTAGAGAGTTTTGATATAACCAGCTAATACATAATAATTTGATATCAAAATCTAACCAAAATTAAAATATATAAACAAAATTTAAATAAAAAAATCTACCTTGTTTAACACACACATACACAAAAATTCACTATCTTTCTTTGTTAACCAAATAAAGTTAACTAACCTTTCTTTGTTAACTAATCAAAGTTTACTAACCTTTCTTTGTTAACCAAATAAAGTTTTGTACATATAAAAAAAGATAATGATTATAATTTTTTCATTATCTTAGATGAACAAAAAAAGTGTTGGTCAGAGTTACTTATGTGTTTTAATTGTATCTTAAAACAATGATTACATTTAATTTCTTTACAGAAAATCATGAACATGGAAAAGCTGTTATATATATATATTAAAAAATTATTTACAAATATTCTCTGAAAAACCAATATTTAAGTACTTTATTTAACCCTGCGATGAACAAAAAAGTTTAAGTGAAATTGACATTTTACAAATTTGTGAAAATTTTAGTAAGATTTTTGTTATTTGGTAATTTAGTCTGTTTTTAAATATTATAGTACGTGTGTTAATGGTCAAGTTGTGAAAGAACGAACCCAAATTCGACATGGTGATCGTATTTTATGGGGAAATCATCACTTTTTCAGGATAAACTGTCCTCATGCTCCTTCTCCTGCTGGTATAGTTTTATATAATAGAAACAATCTGTATTGTATTTATACAATAGAAATCTGTATTTATACAATAGAAACAATCTGTATGTTTATGTGTGTGTGTCTATTTCTAGTCATTTATGTCTATTCCTAATTAGTATCAGGAATTTCAAAAGAGAACTCTACTGTTATAGTTACATCTCAAGTTGGTTATTTTTTTTTTAACTATTTAAGGGGAACCTGAAGTACAAATGGATTTCGATTTTGCTCAAAATGAACTTCTTTTAAATGAATTTGACTCTTTAGGAGGTTTGTTAAAAGTGATTTTTAAAATTTTAAATGGTCATTTATAATGATTTTAACTTTAATAGCTGTAACATGTATTTTTTTACATATTTTGCTATGTTAAAAATTCTTATGATATTATAAATACAAAAGTTGTACATAAAACAAATTTTAGCGTTTAGCGATTTATAAGATGTTATATTATTATAGATGTTATTTTTTTATAACGTCTTTTTTTGAAAACTTGTCAAACTTGTTTTATTTAGAACCCATTCAAGTAATAATACAGCAACTTGAACATCAACATGAAGTTGAGAAACAAGGTTTTTAAAGTTGAAATTTTAAATTCTTTTTTTGTTGTTGTTGTTGTTGTTTTAAATTAATTTTTTTTTTTGACAACTTTTATTACTAAAAAGGAGCTCTTGATCAGCAAAAAGAAATGTATGAACAAAAGTTAGAAGAATTGAGACGAGAGAAAACGCCAGAATCATTAATGACAGGCAGAGCAAGTTCTGGCTATGTGTCTGAAGATCGCTTTTTAAATACTCCAACTATTTATGACAGGTTAAATTTATTTTATGTTTTGAGTTTTATTCCTATAGTTTATGCAAATTTTTAATCACCCTTAAAACTCAGGCATCCTAAAAAATGGCCAGGTGCGTTTTTTTGGCCATAGTTTTCCCTTAGACCTTAAATTATTCAATAAAAAGTACCACTACAAAATTCATGATATAGAAAAAAATAGGTCATTATAGATTGTAATAACATCATAACTTTTGAACAGTTTAGATTTGTAAGCTCAAACTTCAAATATTTTTATGTTTTATTGATAGGTACCACTGTTTAAAATTTATATTTTTGTCCACTTTTACATGTAGTTACCAATACATGATATAAATATTACCCATATATATATATATATATATATATATATATATATATATATATATATATATATATATATATATATATATATATATTTATATATATATATATATATATATATATATATATATATATATATATATATATATATATCCTTAAAAAGATCCTTGCTGACACAAACCATCTGATAACCACTAAATAACCTTGCACCAATAGTAGAATCCCCAACAGATTCCTATTTGCTCTTAATACGGCAATCACTATTACCTATCAGCAATCTTTTACTTAAAAAATACCTGCGTATTCTTCATGATAGTACACACACACACACATATATATATATATATATATATATATATATATATATATATATATATATATATATATATATATATATATGTGTGTGTGTGTACTATCATGAAGAATACGCAGGTATTTTTTAAGTAAAAGATTGCTGATAGGTAATAGTGATTGCCGTATTAAGAGCAAATAGGAATCTGTTGGGGATTCTACTATTGGTGCAAGGTTATTTAGTGGTTATCAGATGGTTTGTGTCAGCAAGGATCTTTTTAAGGATATTATTACAGGTCTTGTCTAGTATTTCTTCAATGTCAAAATAAGTATTGAAACAGCTTGAGCTGGTTGCATCAACTCCGATGATGTGTAAGGTTTTTTTTTGTGGAAATGTTGTATTTCTTTTTTTTTCCGCAAGACTGCAAGTGTTAAGAACTGAGGCACTATATATCATATAGCTAATAGTGTAAGTCCTGTAGACTTTTGGGCTGATATTTCAAGATATTTCTAGCTGTATACAATTTCAAGTTTAGTGTTATTGAGTATGGGAGATGGTAGAGCATGAGGAGCACTGGGAACTGATTCTAATGACTTTACATTTTGAGCATTTAGTTTCATTCCATTGGCTGCAGACCTATATGTGACGCCATCAGCAATAGATTGAGGTAAATTGGCAGAAACCTTATTGTAGAAAATGTAGGTCAGCATGCTGTCAGCATATTTTTTGAGAATGGTTTCATGTGGGAAGTAGGTGTTTATGCCAGAAAAAAGAGAATGAACAAGATTGGTCCAAAAACGCTACCCTGAAGTACCTTGGCTTGTATATATTTCCAATCAGTGGTGTGATCACTTGTTTTTACTCTTTGGCAACAATTAGATAAGTAAGCTGCAATCCAAGATGTGAGTCAGTTAGGTAGAATATTCATTAACTTTAGTAGCAACTTGTCGTGATCAACAAGATCAAATGCTTTTGCAAAATCGAAGAATATTGCAAAAATTGATTTATTATTATCTTTAGCATACTCCAATCCTCTATAACATGAATAATAGCATCCATTGTACTAAGGACCTGGAAGTAAACCGAACTGTTTGTTTGAGACCCAGATGTGCTTGGTGTGATTGACAATGAATTTGGTGACAATGCATTCAAAAACTTTGCACAACGCGGACGTAATAGCAATTGGACTATAGTCATTGGAAGATAGCAGGTTTGAGATTTTAGCAATTGGTGTTATGTTCGCTGATTTCCATTGATCAGGGAAGTAGCTGTTTTCTATGAGGCTGTTAAATAGGATATAGAGCGATGGGGAAATATCTAAGCAAGATTTGATGGGAAAATATCTAAGAAGATTTAATTAAAAGTTGGGAGAGATCATCAGGTTCTGATGATTGTTTCTTTAGTTTGCTGAGTGTCTTGAAAATGATATTAATGGTAAAAATGGAGATAATAGGTAGGTCTGCTTGACGGTTAATGAAGAACAAGTGGTTAGGTTGTTTCTTACCGCTCTAAACATTTTGAAAATGATCGTTCAATTGGTTTGCTATTGTCTCAGAGATAGAATCAGTGATTTGTCTTTTATTGGCAAGCCTTACTTCCTGCCAAAAATTTGTTTTACTGGAGAAGTGTTGGTTATGAATAGATTTATTTTTAGTGATTAGTTTGATGACTCGATTTGCAAGTACTTTTCACTCAGAATAGCAACCAGAAGAATAAAGTTGCTGAAATTCTTTTATAAGGCTTAGAATAAATGGTGTCATCCAAGGTTTGGGGTTGACAAGCGTTGTTGTTCTTAATGGTTGGCAGATGTCTTGAGCATAGAGTATAGAATAATGAAAGTTGTTGCAAGTGGCTTGCATTTCATACGGTGAATCAACTAGGGTTTCAAGATCAGTACATCATGTTAATGTAACAGGATCAGCAACTCAACCTGACCGGTATGTAACATTTCCGAGGTTTCCAAGAGAGCTGGGTGTGTAGTTTTGTATTGATTGAATGGGGGCTGACTAACTACAACAAGGTTGTCTGAATTTCCAAAGCTGGAAAGGGTATTGAATATGTAACATTTTAGGGCATTACTTAAGATGATGTCAACAATAGTTGATTTCCAGGTAGATTATGAATTAAGGTGAATGAGCTGGTGAGAATGGCAAATAAAGACAGTAGGGCAATCATTTAGATCTCCTGCGAAAGTTATAAGTGGTTTGTTGCCGATTCTGCATCATGCGGTAGTGGTGTAGTGGTAGAGCGCTCGCTTCATATACGAGTGGTTCCGAGTTCGACCCCCACCACATCCCTGGTAGTACCGCGCTCAACTCGTTTCTCTGCGCAACGGCCTTGTTCATCAAGGTTTGTGTTTCAGAGTTATAGAGTTGAGAGAGGGTTATAACCACAAATAAGTAGCCTCCTCGTCTGTAGTGGCCTTCTCAGCCTTGAGGAGGTGAATTAAATAAAAAAAAAAAAAAATGTTATTGCTGGTTTGATGAGTTGTGCAAGTTGATATGATGCTTCATGTTGTGCATTGTTAGACCGAGATATATGCACATATTATTAGATAAGGAGTATCCTAAGGGCAGGCATTTTGGATACACTCAAGTGATAGTTGGTTCAATTTTTTTTCAGGTACTGAATCATACAGGGAGTCGGTTGTCGGTTTTATTTGTTCTGCTTTATCTGAATATTTTTTATTCACAAGTATAATAGTGCCACCACCTATGCGATCCTGATATATATATATATATATATATATATATATATATATATATATATATATATATATATATATATATATATATATATATATATGTATATATATATATATATATATATATATATATATATATATATATATATATATATATATATATATATATAAAATCATTAATTATTAATTATAATAAATCATTTTCTAATTTACTAGTAACTATTTAATTTAGATCTTTATTTAATTAAAATATTTGAGTTGAAAATATTTGACTTTTAATAAAATAATATAAAAAGTAACTGTAATATAAATATTTTTAAAACTTAATTTTTAGCCAGTTGTTTTATGAAGAAAGTGTTAGGAGGTTAAGAGAAGAAGTTATAAGAGCCAATGTGCTTGTCAGGTATTTTTTTGTTATGCTGAAAGTTATATATATATATATATATATATATATATATATATATATATATATATATATATATATATATATATATATATATATATATATATATATATATATATATATATATATATATATATATATATATATATATATACATACATATATATATATATATATATATATATATATATATTATATATATATATATATATATACATACATATATATATATATATATATATATATATATATATATACACATATATACATATATATACATATATACATATAAATATATATATATATATATATATACACACACACACACACACACACACATATCATTCATTTTTCTTCTTTGTGAATAAAATGTCCTCAAGTATAAAATTTTGATGGGCTCTATATTAATAAGTTGTACTTTTTTTTTTGTTAAAATTTTAAATCTTTTTGCAATGCATGCATATATTTTGCCGGCTTTTTAACATTTATTCATAACTAATTTACATATAACTAATTATTTAAAAAACATTTATAACTAATTATTCAACTTGTAACATAATATGGAGCAATTATTTAAAAACAATAATATATAACTAATTACTTAACTTATAACATAATATGTTTGACTTGGTTTTTTTATTTTTTACATTATCAAGTAGCACATGCTACAAATGAATTTTTTTCATTTTTTAATATAAAAAGAAGCAATTTTTAAGTTAAAGTTTGCTATCTATTTTGATATTACTTCATGTGAGAAGTTTTTAAAGAATAACTAAATAAAAAACATCAACATGTTTAACATTTTTTACCATTAAGTATTTTGCGTGTGTAAACTGACTTACACTGGCTATAGCAACCAATTCCTGCAAAAACCTAAGTATATTATATATATATATATATATATATATATATATATATATATATATATATGTATATATATATATATATATATATATATATATATATATATATATATATATATATGTATATATATATATATATATATATATATATATATATATATATATATATATATATATATATATATATATATATATATATATATATATATATATATATATATATATATATATATATATATATATATAGCTATATATATATATATATATATACAGCCTTGTTAAACTCATCAGCTGAGTATACGCATCTATACCCAACTCGTGTTTCGGCCACTTTTGTGTGGCATTTACGGTAAATGATGAGTTGTAGCAACTATGATGACTGAAAACTGTCTAGTAGTTGTTATATATATATATATATATATATATATATATATATATATATATATATATATATATATATATATATATATATATATATATATATATATAGGCTTGGTCGGGAAGCGGGAGCGATCGCTCTCGATTGCTGACCACGTAAATAATATTTAGTTGCAAAAAAGCAAAAAAAAAATATTTATATACGTAAATAATATTTAGTTGCAAAAAGCAAAAAAAAAAAAAGCGATCAAGATTAATTGGACCGATGAGAGACAATTACAAAAAAAAAAAAAAATTAAAGCTAAATAAATTACGTTTAGAACAAATATTTTCGAAACATCGCTCTTTTATAATTGTTTTATAAAATTAAGCGATGTTTTTTATATAAAGTAACAACTTACGATTGTTTAAAAAGGAAACAAATATTCTTTATTAACAAAGTTTGCAAGTTTTAGTTTTATTTAAGCTAAATTATTTTATAAATAAATAAGTTTATTTTTTTAATACCTATTTTATGTTTCGCGTAGTTTGAAAAATTTAACATATTTGAAGCAATTCTTCTAAGTAAGATAAACAAATGAAATAGTTAAATCATTGAATTACTATAGAAATTTAATTAACAAAATAGAAATCAACTAAAAAGGTTAAAAATACTTAATGACGAGGAAGCGAAACTGCTTCACAATATCGCTGATGATGTTTAGTGAGTGGGCTTTTTAATTTTAATTAGTATTCAAAGCAGAAAAAAGTATAACGAGTTTTAAGAATGGCAGCTTCAGCGAAAATAATTAGAGTCAGTAAACCAATATCTAGAAACTTTTCTTTGTATCTAGTTATTTGCTATAAATATTTGTGTTCTGTCGTACACGGTGCTTGTTCATCCGCGAGTTACTTCATATGCATTGTTTGTGTTTAGTAACCAGAAACTTCTTATCAAGGCCGGCGCGATAGGGGATGTGGGGGGTCCCCACATCCCCCCATCAATGATTTTTAGTCGGCAAACTGGACCCTTAGTTAGCAAATCGGACCCTTTTAGACTAGTTAGTCGGCAAATGTGGCCCCTTTCGACAGGTTAGACAGTCAGCAAATGTCGTAATGGCAGTCGGCAAATTTTGGAAAACGAGGACTTACCTACTTGCGCCGGCCCTGCTTCTTATATGTTTGTTACATAATTAATTTATTAATTTGGACGATTATAACTTCATTGAAATCGCAAATATTTTTGTAAGTCTTTGTTTAAATCATAATAATTGCTTTAAAAGATACATTACGAGAAAAACAGATACACACAATTACATTTACATAAAGAATACATACTTTTTAAATAAAAAATAAGAATATAATAATAAATTCTATAATTTAAAATAAACTTTTAAAATTTTGAGAATTTAATTAATATATATTTAAAACATTTATTTTTGTAAACAAATAATATATATTCTTAAAACAATTTATGCTAGAAATCTCAAAACGTAACAAATCGTGAATGATACAATTTCTAAAACATTTCAACAGAATACTCTAAAACTTTATTTCGCTTAGTCAGCGTATTTTTTGAACCAATAAAATTAGTTTGTTCGTTAATTTGGCGGGTTTTTAGTGTAAGATATTTTGAGAACATTCAAGTTGTTTATGTTTCCATGTATGTCCGTAAAACAAAAATTTTTTGTTTCGTACATAAACTTAAAGGTTCTCAAAACGACTAAAAAACCTGGCCAGTTTTTCGCAACTAAATATAATTTCTGTGGTCAGTATTCGAGACCGATCGCTTCCGCTTTACGACCAAGCCTGATATATATATATATATATATATATATATATATATATATATATATATATATATATATATATATATATATATATATATATACATATATCAAGCCTTCCCAGGAAAGGTTTTTCGTCTCGTATGACCACACGTGAGTATATTATTTTAGACAACTTGAACACGGCCGTTTGCAAGTTTTTATAATAATGCTGAAAAAGTTTCAAAAACAAAAAAAACAAAACTAACAAAATAAAAAGAGATTAAAATAGATAAAAATAAAAACAAATTAATAATTTAAATAATTTGTGTACTGTCTTTATTTTTGTTTCTTTAGAGTTACACTCAGCAACAAAATTAGATAAGACGAAGCAAAAAAAAAAAACAGTTTAAAGTCTATAATAAAAAGAATGGTTTTCCTTTTCTTAATTTTTTTTTTAAGAGGATAGCAAAAATAGAAATTGCAATGTTTTTGTAAAATTTATTTGTATAATTTTAATGTAACAACAAGGGTTGAATTAAGCGAATGCAAAACGCAAAATCTGGAAAGTATTTAGTATTCAAAATTTTAGTTTATACAAAACTGTGTTCCTTGTTTTTAAGGGGAGAATCAACTTAAATTTGTTAGCAAAAAAATAAAAAAATAAAACAAAATTATGATTACAAAAGTAATTACACTCTAGTCACTAACTGCATTACAAAAGTAATAACACTATAATAGTATTATTACTTTTATAACGCACTTATAACTTTTATAATTCATTCTTTGTTCAAGCAACATTAGTATTCCCAAATTTTAATTGAAGTAGAAAAATATCTAGAAGAATAAAGTGGATGTTCAAATAATATTAAAACTTAAATAACTTATAAAAATGTGACAAACAACTTTATAAAAACGTATCGTATTAAGAGTTTACCATTATGAAAACTGTTACTAATGGACTGTAAAAATGCGCGTTAATTTTAAAATTAACCAATAAAAATGTTTTATTGGTTGATTTTCAAATTAACTCGCATTTTTACGTATTGTTTTTCATAATGCTATACTTTTTATAAATTACTTTTTTATAACATTGTTTAAGTGATCTGTGAAAGTTCCTGAAATTTTTAATAATATATGAATATCCGCTTTATTTTTTCTAGATGCTTTTCTACTTTAATAAATGTTTGGAATTAATAATGTTGTTTGAATAAAGAATGAACTTTAAAAGTAGTAAGTGCTTTATAAATGTAATAACACTATTATAGTTTTATTACTTTTATAATGCAGTTAGTGACTAAAGTGTTATTACTTTTGTAGTCATAAGTTTATTGTTTTTGTTTTGTTTTTGTAACTTTCTCCCTGCAAACTTTTAATAATTTGCTTTTTATAAACAAAGTACCCAGCTTTGCATGAACTAAAATTTTAAAGACCTAATATTTTACCAGAGTTTGCAAATCGCGATCATATAGTTTAACTCTTGATATAAACTTGTTACATTATAATTATACAAATATATTTTAAAAACAGATGACAATACATATTTTCTCTTTCCTCTTTAAAAGAAAAAACACATCAAATATGGGAAAGTCATCCTTTTTAACGCCTTAAACCGTTTTTTTTTTTGCTTTGACTTAATGAATTTTGTTGCCAATAATAATAACCACTAAGAAAAAACATAAATAAAAACAACACACAAATTATTTAAACTATTATTATTGTTTTCTATTTAAGTTTGCATTAATTTCTTATGTAGTTATTAAATTTAAAACAATTTTTCAGCAACGCATATATAACTTGCGCAAACTGCCATGATCTTTAACTTGAAAAACCTTTTCGTGGTCATACAAGATGAAAAACTGCACGCCTTTCCTGGGAAGGCTTGTATGTATGTATATATATATATATATATATATATATATATATATACACATATATATATATATGTATATATATATATATATATATATATATATATATATATATATATATATACATATATATATATACACATATATATATATATATATATATATATATATTTATTTATTTATTTGTTTATTTATTTATATATATACATATACATATATGGGGTTGTAGTTATAGTATCGAAAACAGCCAAACTAAATAAGTCCAAAAAAGAAAACATAATTTGACCTTCTCTTGCAGCCAACCTCCAACCATTATCATATCGTTGTAATGTTGCTTTTCTTTCTCTTTTCTACAAATATTATAATGGGCACTACTCTAAAGAGCTAGCGTCTTATGTGCCATCTACTAAAATTCATTTTAGTGTTACTTGTCATTTAATTAAGTCTCATCCTTTTTCTGTGACTGTTTCTAAGTGCTCCAAAAACTCTTATTTGTACAGTTTTTTTCCTCGAACATCAGTTCTTTGGAATTTATTTCCTTCATCTTGCTTTCTTGATTCATGTAATTTGCAATCTCTTAAGTCATCTATCAATCGTTACCTTGGTTTACAAACTTCATCTTTTCTCTTAACTAGTAACTTCTAAATCTAATAGTGGTTGCTTGCAGCCCTGTTGGAATAGAAGGTGTTGAAAAAAAAAAAAAATTACTGAAATAGAGTATAAAACCGAAAAGGAAAATTTTCGACAAATTTCATTCTAAATGATTTTTTTTTTTTTTTTTCTTAAATTAATTTCTTAAAATTAATCCCAAAAAAACGTTTCAATCAAAAAATTTCGATAATCTGTTTTTTTATCAATTTTTTTTTTCGATACTATTCTGCTTTCCCCATATATGTATATGTATGTATTAGGTATATGACAAAAAAACTTTTTTCAAAATTTTAATTTTCCTGATGTTGCATTTGATGAACTTTTACCAATAGATCACTGTTTTGAGGTTTATTTTATTGGATCACAAAAAAACCTCCCGCACCTAGCACCTCACCACTTTTAACTTTTTCGAATTTTCACTTGATTTTGTTCCTAGTTCTTACTTCCTTATGCTTGACTATGCTTGACTATGCTTGAATATAACTACAAGTTGGAGAGCATCAAACAGTTTAAAAAGTTAATTAACATAGAATGAAAAAGTTCGATAGTTTTAAATTGTTTTATGTTATGTAACTCAATTTTGAATAACAAATTTTAACGACTGTTTTTCAAATTAATGCGCGTTTGTTGTTGTTTGTTGTTGAGTATTTTTTAATGTTTGCGCGATTAAAATATTGAGTAGAAGTATTTAAAAAGTTTTTTCATTATTTGCAGTATTAATTTGCAAGATCTGCTGTTTTGTGTTTCTTTTTGAAAATATGTCCTTTAAAAGTAAAAAGTCAAAATCAGCAGTGGAAGCAGCTGGTGAAATATGGACACAAAATTTAAAATCAAGCAAGAAGCGCCGTCCTAATATACCACAGGTAAAACAGGATATGAGCAACAAATTGTGTAAATTGCCTTCCAACAGAGATATGGTTGGAAGATTCTTGGGACTCTTTAATGAATTGAAAGGACGACATGATCGACTAACAAAAATATCAGAGGAATTGATGAATCTTTGGCAGAAGTTTAATTTTCCTGTTCTTTCCAAACAACAAGCGTCTGCTAATGTTTACAAACTTATCACATCATTTGAGAAACACAGAAAGCGACCAAATGCAGTATTTGAAGAAAATCTTGCTCATCTGTTCGATATAACAAAACCAGATGGAAATTGGCTTTGTAGTGAGGACAAACAACTGTACAAAGTACAAATTGAATCAGATGGCAGGGTGGGATATACAACTATAAAAGTGGCTCCTATGTCAACAATCCATCCATCAAAAAGGGCCAAAAGCACATCAGAACCCTCGACAAACCAAGCGGTTATCTCCATACCACTTTCCTGCGATAGTGAGGATTCTGAGGAAGGAAGCAGCAGTGGTGACTCGGCAGTTCCAGGAGAATCTCGCAGAAAGCGTGCAACACGCCAGTCAACTAAGTCTGCTGCCAAACTAGTGTCTAGTCACTCTTTGTCAACCAGAAAAACGTCACGGGTGCTTCAAAGTCTGGCTGAGGATGAAGTTTGTGTCCCAACACCATCACAGCCTGGAGTCTGGCGTCGAACAATCAGAGATGCAGAACAAGTTAAGAACCGCCTCATGGAACTGATCTCTGAAGAGAAATTTTCTTTGCATTTTGATAGTAAGAAAATTGACAAGACTGAGTATCAAGTTGTGTGCTTGAAAAATGACAAAAGAACATTACAACTTGGCATTTTGGTTTGTGACAGTGGATCATCTGCAAGCATATTTAAACCACTACAGGACCTACTTGATGATTGCAATGCATGGAACAGTATTCAGATGATCATCTCTGACACAACAGCTGTAAATACTGGTTGCAAGAATGGAGTTGTAGCCAAGCTTCAGAAAACATTTTGAGACAAGGGATTCAATGAACCTCAATACATTGGCTGCCAACACCACATTCTTGATCTTGTTCTACGACATGTGTTGGATTTCTTTTTTCCTATACAGTCACAGTCGCCTAACATTAACTACAAATTTATTGATGAGATTATGGAGCATTACGATGATTTAAAAAATGCCTACAAGGGCACAGCAGTGGTAGCAGAGTATGAGAACCTTGGCTGGAGAGATTACTTTAAATTTCTTTTTCAGCTTTGTGAAGCATACAAGTTTTACAAAAATGAGGAAAAATGGCCTCGTATCAAATGGCACAAGCTGCCATCACTGTACAGTGCCAGGTGGAACTCAAGAGGCATTTTTGCGCTTATTGCATTTTTCATTCTTCCAAACTGGCGAGAACAGCTGAGGATAATTTGCGATTTCGTTGCAACTACATGGTCGCGGGCCTGGTTTTCAAACCAGGCCCGCAGAGACAGCTAATGAAGACCTGCTGTCAGCAATATCCCAACTTAAGTGTTCCAAAGCTGTGAAATGCTTCTCTACCTGGAAGAAGGAACCATCAGTGCTTGATGTGCCTCAAACCAACATAGTAGCCGAGAGAGTTATAAAGTTGATGGGGGACATTTGTTCTTCTTGCAGAACAAATAAATATCTTAACTGTAAATTTAAGAATAAATACTAATACACAAATCGTAAAGATTATTAACATCACTACAAATGCTGTAGGACAGTGTATTTCTCATGTATTTCTCATGTGTATTGTATATAAAGTTGACATATTATAATTAATAGCCTTTGGGCTGCTATGTGTTGTTTGGTTAAATATGAAACTGTCTTAGGTCCGGGAAGTTTTTTCAAGGTATGGTGAAATCGATGTCATTTTTATGATTTATAGGCAAAAGTTCATCATTTAGAAACCCAGGCTAATTGGTTTAAAATTTATCATATACCTAGTATGTATATTAAAAACAAAAACTTTTTATTTTAGGGAAGCAAATCAACTGAGTTTTGAGATGAAAAAAGATTCTGAATTTGCTGTAACACTTCAAGTAAAAAATCTTTTTTAGTGAGTCTTATAATAAGGCTCTGACTATATTATAATTGTGTTAAAAACAACTTTTTTTTCATCTAAGAAAATAATTAAGATGAAATTTTCTAACTATTTAATCACCTGTAAAAAATCCAGGGAATCATTAATAAGTCTTACTTTATTTAGGCTCACAAAACAATCCATGAAAACAATTTTATTTAATCAACTATTATACCAGTTACACCCCAGCAAAAACTGGTGTCAAAGTAAAATATAAGTTAGCAAATGCTTTACAGGGGTTGTTTTATTCTTAGCAGTCTTACTTTTAACCAAAAATTATACTTAGAACATAAACCAAAGATTATACTTAGAACATAAACCAAAAATTATACTTAGAACATAAACCAAAAATTATACTTTAACAGTGTATCAATAAATAGTCCTAATTAAAATTTAATAAAGTTTTTATGATAACCAATACTTTTTTTTTTTGCTTGACCTATCCTCATTTATGCAAAAATATTGACATCATTTTCAGAAGAGAATCCTATAAATTATGCAGACTTAGTTGATTCCCTGCCAAACTTGTATGTAGCTGGAAATCTAAGAAACCATTTTATAGTTTTTACAGTACCTTTTTTTTTTTTTTTTGTACTTAAAGCAAATATTTTATTATTCAGATACCAACAGCGAGCCTCAGTCAAGGAGTTTCTCGTGGTCCACTTACCAGTGAAGTTGCAATTGTGGTGAGGAGCAAAACAAGGGGTACACAAGGTATTGTGTTAAAAAAGATAAAATTTTGTTTTTTACTGTAAATGTGTCACTCTCTCTCTCTCTCGTTCTCACTCTCTCTCTCTCTCTCTCTCTCTCTCTCTCTATATATATATATATATATATATATATATATATATATATATATATATATATATATAAAACATACATACAAAAAACAACTGAAAAATTAAATTTTTTTATTTTATTTATATTTTTAAAATAGAGTTAATTTTTTAACAAAGTATAGACATTTTGTCTTTATATTTTAAATGATGTAATACTTTGTTTGTATGTAAACTAAGGTTATAATTTTTTTTCGACTAACTAATTAGGTAACGGAGTGCGACTACATGAAATGAGGGTTTTGGTTTTGACAGCAATATTTTTTCATTAGTTTTTTTTTTTTCTTTTTTTTTTGAAAAATTAAAACCCAAAAAATATATTGGGAAATTGCGTTCTTAGATATATTATACATTATTTTCAAGATGGCAAGTAATAGATAATTATTAAATATACACATGTTTATTTGATAATTATTTATTAATTGTTGCACTGTTGTTGATATTTATATATCAATGAATAGCAACACTCTTACTCTGATGTCTTCTCTGATTTTCTTTTTAACTGGCCATTCAAAGTTTAAGCATATATTAAGCATATATTAAGCATATATTAGGTATATATGCTTAAATTGTCTCATTTCCATACTCTCGCTTTCCCTTCCAATATTGTAATTTATTGAATATAAATGCAAAACTGACTAATTTATTATTGATTATTTAGTGTTTTCTGGTATTAGAGTCAACTCAACAATGTCAGCATTAAGTTCCAGCATTTATATCAATTAACATGACCTAGTTTTCCTTGACACTCACTTTACAGAAAGTCAATTTTTATGAATGATTTTTTTTTTTTAAAAAAAAGAGCTATTTTTCTAACTTTATTTTTATGATGATGAAAAATCTTTTTTGGAAGGAGCTACTTTAAGTCAACATTGGCCTCCATTTTGTAAAAAATTTTCTTTACTGTTATCATATTGCTGGTCACTTGTTGGAGAATGCTAAATTTCTTCTTCAAAAAATTTGTCATCAGTTTTTACCAAACCTGGTTTGCTTAATATATAAGACATCTACCACAGCCAGATACATGGCATGATTATGGCAAATTTGATGATAAATCTACTTCAATCGTCCCATTTTTTTTTTCATTAAAGACAATTTATCTGTCATAACAAGGATTATTTGGTTTTTGAGCTGCAAACCAAGTTTGTCCAGTTTTTTAATAACAATTTCAAAGGCCTTGGTAACAAAGAGTTGGTAACTTGGTAACCTTGGTAGCTTGCATTATATCTTTACTCTTATCATGCCCAAACTATTTAAATTTCCATTTTTTATATGGATATACATACATACACATTAGCGTCTCAGTTGTTAATCACATTTTTAAACCTCGTTCCTTCTTAAATTCTTTAATATTTGCCAAAGGTAATAGTGGTTATCTGCAGCTAGTAACTTTGCAAAAAAAGTCAAAACAAGAACTTTGTTTTTGAAAGATGGCTAAAACTAACTTATGAGACATATTTTGTACCACTGATAAATACTTATTCAATAGTTTAAAATGCAGAAAGATTCTATTGCAATGTATTAAATTAATGTAAACAAATAATAACTAATTATTCTAATTCTGTTATTAAATCTTGGATTTAATATTTTTAATCAAAAATAATCTGGTGGTATCTAAGTAAAAAGATATCAAACCAAATTTCTTTTCTCTTGTTTTATTTTTTCAAAAATAATTGAATAAAAAAAATTAGCTATAGTTAAATTGTTAACAGTTTTTATTTTAAACATAACTAAGCTTATTAGATTCACACAAAATGTGGAAATCTAGTAAACATAAGCAAATAAGAAATATTTGAATGATTTTATTTTAAAATTAAGTTATTACATAAAAATATACACATTCTCTATGTCATTCAAATCTTAAATATCTTTTATTATCATAAAAAATTAAACTTTTCAAATTTTACAAAAACACATACAATCAAGAGACAAAACAAGATAAAAAACTTTTATCTTTCTTGTTTTAAAATTCAAAAGTTTAATTTTTTATAATACTAAAAGATATTTAAGATTTTTATGGCATTGAGAATGTGTATATTTTTGAGTAATAACTTTATTTTTAAAATAAAATCATTCAATTATTTCTTATTTGCTTGGCAATTCTATATATTGTCAAGCAAAATTCAGTGACTATTTAATATTCTCTTTGGTTACTTTTTATACTATTCACTATTCAGCTGAATGTTGCAAACTATTTGGCCATATAATGAATAACAGATTCAATTTTCTCCACTTGAAATTTAATGCCAGCGCACGATAAAGCGCTGACAGGATGGTCTTTTTTTAGTAAGCTTACGCGATTTAAAAAAATTTCACATTTTTTGCAGATGTTGGTTTTCACTTTTTTTGCAGATGTTGGTTTGGTCATTGATCTTTTTTATTTACATTTCTTTTTTATAAGAAGTGGAGATAAATCATCACTAATGCAGCAAAGTATTTCTGACTTTATTTTTTCAATTCTGAGGGTTGCCAGGAAAGCAGTCTTTCAATTAGAAGGATTAAATTATTTCTCTCAATAAAAAAGTCATATAAATATATAACTATAACTATATAACTATATACCATATAACTGACATTCCCATTAAAGTTAAAATATGCTTCAAATTTAGATTGAAATAAAATATTATTTTTAATAAGTTCTTTGCGCTATATTTATCTTTAGCTACTTCTGAAATTACCTCAGAAATGTAAGATATACCTTAGCTGTTTTTTTTTTT